TCGGTATAAAACATTCTCTCCTCTGCTTATTGTGCCCATACTTCTTTTGATCTTGATTTGCCTATTTCATTCTTTGCTGCTTTCTCTCATGCTCTCTCAGTTAATATTAAGTGTGTGTGTGTGTGTGTGTGTGTGTGTGTGTGTGTCTGTGTATTTATCTCCTTCTGCTGTAAGATCAGCTTACCTTCCATTCTTCTTTCTTACTGCACTGCTTCTCCCATAAAATCACTCTCTTCCCCCTTGGTTAACAGATGCTTGGTGTTCTCTGTTCATGGAATACACACTTGGCGGATGACTGGAACAGAGTCCAGGGAGCCATATTTTTGTCTGGAGGAAGTTAGCTGGCATGCGTTCAAGAAGGATAAAGAGAATAGCAGAAGAAAAGATGAGGGAGAGATGAAATAATTCAAGATGCTCAGCCTTGGGAAAGGAAGACGAAGACATTCATAAGGAAATGGGAAGGCTTTAGAATTACAAAAATCATAGATTATGAGAAACAGAGAATACTCTAGAGACATCTGATCCCATTTTACAGGTGGGAACACTGCAATCCAGTGATCAGTGAAGTCAGGACCTATCCCAAGACTTCTGACTACCTCTACCTTTACTCCCTTTCTTCACCTCACTTTTGCACAAAGTACCACCACCAATCTCAAATGTGGCTCCTGAGCCCATGACAATGGCCACAGGTTACAAAGGCTAGACATACAATTTGGCTCAGTTTGAGGAGACTTGAGGTGAGAAACAAGACCCCTGCTGCTTCACAGTGTAGTGAGGTTCTCTGTCATTGGAGGCACCACCATCACCTCTGGCTGGTACCCGTCCGCTATGCCATAAATGGCATCCCCACACTGGATACTGAGTTAGCCATGGCAGTGGTCAACAAACTCGGTTCTGTGCACCAGTGTCTGGTTGGCCTCAAAAGAATCACTTGGAGAGCTTTTAAAAATATAGACTCCCCAATGCTAATTTCTGAAATTCTGATTCAAGAGGTTTTGAGAAACGGTGGAAGCTGGTGATTTCTGAGGAATCTTCTAATACTAAGATCCCATTACAACATTACTTTCCCTTTTATTGGAAGCAGGCTTCTGAAGTATCACTAAGCTCTGACTACTGAGCCAATGCACGTAACATACAGTCCACACCAGACCTATGGTCAAGGAGCAAGCATTGCCATGGTCTCAGACTGCCTGTGTCCCTTACGCCATCTTTTCATCTCAGTGTCCACTTTTCTGATCTCAGTGTTCACATCTTTGAAGTGGAAGAAATGGATTATGAGAACAGTGTTTTTCAAAAGTAGTTGTTTATTCATTTTTTTTTTTAAGCATGGGTACATGATCCAGTTCTGGGTGTGTATTCTGAGATGCGAAGGGCAGTCTACATAGGAGAAGAACCCTTCCTGATTAAAGGGGCCAAGTCTCATGAGGGGAGGTGTTTTTCCCCTTTATGCCCTGCCACCTTTGCCCTAACTTGAACATGATACATGGACATGAGCATGGGAAGTTCGAAGAGCTGAGGATGGTGAAGCAGAAAGGCAGCTTTGGTCCCTGGGGACATTGCTCAGCAGACCCAACGGCTCTGTCTAGGCATGCCTACACCTCTACATGCCTAAAGTAAGGCCTTATACATTCAGACTTCTGTGAGCAGAGTTTCTGTTACTTGCAACCAAACTCAAGTTTCACCTATACTGCATTAAAACTCTCTTTCAGATGAAATCTCTTACAAACCTCCAATATATGAAACAAGTAGAAGTGGCTATATTAGAAAGGCTAGAAATGCAGACAGGGTATTTCCAAAGCCATTCTTCCCCAGATTCCTGCAGAGGTTCTTCCACGGAACCAGAACCAATCAGGATTAACATCTCCTTCTGTGGAGTCCCCCTGAGGGATCCTCAGATCTTCCCCGAGATTGGAGAGTTCTGCATCAAATTTGTTCTTGGGTTTTTCTTTTGATGTGCTTATTTGTGTGAATTTTGTCCTAGAAAATACAGATCCCATTCCCAACCAATGGCTACACCCATACAATCTGGTGTCTGTGTTTGTATTAACTGTATGATCACGTGGGCAACAAGTGATTCCATTCTCGTTGTCATGAAGAGAGAAAGGAACAGAGTGTGATATATTACAAAACAGCACATTCCTTCAAGGTGCAAATAAAAGGACATAGTGAAGGTAGATGTGAAAAGAAAAAGGCCAAGGAGGAATCAAGTGTCTGACTAGGATGCAAGAGTATAAGAGGGTTGAAATCAAACTAATCTCCAAAGTCACTGTTAGTCCCATGTTCATGGTATAATCCTTACTAGGGGTAATGCATCTTCTACATAAAAAATGATTGCTGATAATCTGAATATTATTAGATGAGTTTCTCTGTATCTAATTCAAAAATGTGTTTTAGTGCTGTATCTGTTCAAGAGTGATTAAGTTAGACAGGTAATATCTAGGTAGGTATTTCTGGTTCATACATATTTAAATGATGGTATGGTGAAATAATTAAATCAACAATGTGGGCATCAATCCCCCCCATTATAAAATGGGTCTCCATATTACTCATACTCAAGAAATTCTGAACTACAGGATGGCCCAAATCCCTTCCAAATGGTCAAATCCTTGATTCTATGAACCTCCTAACCTTATGAACCTAGTAGGAAACACACCAATAATGTGGTATGTGACCTTGGAGAGGTTTTTTTTAAATTAAAAAAAATAATTTAAGTAAATTCATTCATTAAAATAAAGCAGATGTATCATTTTATATTATTTTGAAGAAGTTTGTCTTTCTGCTAAAGTATCCACAGGCAGGGCCTAGAACAAACTGCTCACTGCAATCACTCACCCATCTCCACCTGGTCCGTTCACTCAACACCCCCAGTGGAAATATCTCTGGATGGAAGAAATATGGGTTAAAAATAAAGCCCAAAGAGCCTGCTCCGTCCATGCTTAGGAAATCTGAACCCTCGGGCGTTGCTGTTCTTACAAAATGTGCTCTCTGATTGCTTCCAGAAGGCACAGCGGGGCAGACTGACCATGGGGTCTCGCATTGTGTAGAGGGTAAAACAATTCTCTTCAGTGAAGCCACAGTTTATCCACACACTTCAAGCTGAACGGATCCGTGCCTGCTGGTGTGCGCTGTTTCTAGTATGTGTGCTTCATTCCTGTGCACCATCTCCTCCCTCTGCCCTAGCTGCCCCACGCGTGGTATGGCCACTCCTCTCCCCTGTTGCCCACACCCCTGCCCTGGATTTATTCTCCTCTACCCTCCCACCCCCTTTTTTCTCCTTTCAATTGTCAAGGGAGCTTGATTTGCCCCTCCTCTACTTCTAAAAAAGGGAAACTATAAAGTTGCTTCCACGTTTTAGGCACTGCTGTTCATAATCCTGCAACCCGGAGCTGCCATTTCACGCCTGCTCTGCTCAGGGCTTGACGCACCACTAAATTTAGACGGGTATGACATTAGAGCTCACCGGCAGTGGGCTCGGCTCTGTTTCATGTCGGTTCCTAATCTGTCTTGGCATTTTGGTCACCCAGTAGGCACTTAAGAAAAACACAAATGTAGTCACTGTCTATGCTAGCATCCCACCACACTCCCCCAAAGTGCCAAACCCGCTCCACCCAACCCCACCCAAAGATGAGGCTGAAGAAGAAAATATTTGTGTGCCATGTCTTGGGGCAAGAAGCCCGGCTACCAGTCATTTCCCAATTTCCTCCTCCGAGTGCAAAACTGTGGCGAGAAAGAAATGGCTGGCTCTGAGTGCTGACTTTCCGCCAAAGGGACACAAGGTTTGGCGGCTCATGCGTTTTCTACAGAAAAGGATCTGGAGAACTCCAGCCCTTTATTCTTCATTCACCCATTAATCTTTACTATTAGCTACACGCCAAGAGATTTTAGAACGGAAGTAAACACACACCTGAATCCATTCATTCATCTACTTCCCCAAACAGACTCTCAGCCAAGCCCCCTTTGAAGAGCACCAGATGCTTCAGCCAGTAATCACAGAGCTGTAGTGAGATTCGGTCTAGCCCTTTCTGAGCTGAACCAGTTTCTTAAATGCAGTTATATTGTGTATTTGCTAAATGCTAAGCATAGAATAAGGCAGAGCTTTCGGAGGGGGGGAGAGGTAAAAATCCATATTGCATAACATCTGATATGCATGAGAAAGGATTATTTAAAATTTGGGGGTTTTTTAAGCACTCTTTCCAGTAAGGTGTAAAATAAAATCAAGCGATTAATGAACTAAAATTCACACCATTATATCTCTATCTTTTAACAATGATTTTGAATAAACTACTCGTTTCTGTTACTCTTTAGTTGTATTTCCAAAATACAAAAGTATTTCCTTGAAGTAAAACTGCCAGTTACTTTTCAACTCAGAACTAAGTTGGAAATTATTATAGAAACAGAATTACAAATGTTGATCCAGCATATTTCTAGGCAAACATATCACTGGGCTCCTTAATGACAGCCAAAATCCCATATAATAATAAAAGATGCCAAGAATTCATACACACATATCTGCTCCCACACTCTGAAAGTGTAATCCAAAATAGAAACTTCAAACTTTGATTCCTTCCTAAAATGAAGGCTATTTTCTGCTTAAAAAAAAAAAAGGTCCCTCTCAAAAACTCTCACGAAGCAAAGAACACAGTTTCATCTAAAATTATCTGTCCTGCCAATGAAGTGTCCTTCCATGCAGAAAAGTTACGGAAGGTTGGAGCGGGGTGACCATACAAGAATTCACATACTTTTCCCTCTCACATTTGTGTGGCTAGCTACATCCTAACTTTCAAAAGTGTCTCTGCCCTGCTGAAAATTGGATCTTGAAGAGGGCTGGGGGAGAAAAATGATTCTAACTCCACAGCGAATATTTAAGTGATGCAAGTTCTAACTTGTACACGTATACACACACACACACACACACACACCAGAAAACTCAGCGTGCCTGCAAACCAACAGCAGGCTGAGAAAGAGAAGCGTGGAAATGCAAGAACTTAACAGCGCCCTACCTCCCTCGTGTGCTTCCCAAAGCGGCTGATGAAAATCGCCCAGCGTCCCCGAGTGCGCAGAGGCTCTGAAGGAGGCGGCCGCTCAGCCTGCCGAGTGTGAGCAGGCCCAGCCTGTGTTCAGAAGCTGCCCCAGTCAGATTTTCCAACTGTAGAACTGCAGCCAAGTCCCTGCCCATGCCTGAAGAATTTCCTGAACAGCATTCCCGTTCTTTTTCTGACTGCTTTGAAACCGTACTCTGTCTGCACTTCAATACAGCTTTGTCAGGCGAACTCCAAGCCACTGGGCTGTCTCCAGCTATCAATGGGAAACACATGTGTCAAGCACAGACTTGCTCCCAACAGCAGCGCCCATGGCGGCTGCCGGGCTCATAGTCACAACCACAAAGGAGAGTGCTTCTAGAACCAATGCTGAGTGTTCGGCCATTCTCCAGGTTCTGCTCTGTGGCGCTAGATGCTGGAGACAAGTCTTCTCCCTCTGCTCAACACTGCTCCTTTTTACCTTCTCCCCCTGGCAGTCCCAGGTTCACCCCGGTGAGCCCACTGAGTTCTTGCCAGCCCTGATAATGAGCCCTATTACAGCTGACAGAGGTGAATTCTAATTTAATCTCCCTACCTGCCATTGCCTCAGTCATTGCTCACAATTTCAACTGCTGGAGGGGGAACCATATTTTTAGCATTTCTACATCGGTTCAGTCCTTCGGAGTTGTCCCCTCATCCTCATAGGTGCATCTATTGTTGCTGCAACTAAAAACAATGCAATTATTTTCGGGCACTTTCGTTGCTTTCCCCTCTGTAACTGTGCTGGTCCAGAAATGTAACATTTCGCATGCTCTTGAGATGTGTGCTGGTTAAATAGAAAGAAAACAATGTACCTATAATCAGAGTATGTCCTAATTCTGTGCACCTGTGATTGTTTCTGGATGACACTCCATCAAGATGTCTTGTGTACATTCTGCGGGATTTTGTGGTCTACCTTTGACATTTCATCTTACCATGAAACCAAGAGGAAGTCTTTAAAGATACAAAGAGGGCACCCCACTTCTCCCACACGGAAAATCCCTCATATTAAGAGTCAAAGCTAAGTTGTCAAGGTAACATTGTAGAAAAGAGATGATTTATAGAAAGCCTCATTTGTTTTAAAGTGAGGGTTTTTTTGTATTAATATTTTACCTCCTAAAAACACACCCCATTAGCAACTTATTTTAAAGAACTGGCTTGCCAGATTTTAAAAAGTGTCATGTGTTCCTGAGGGGCTGTCATAAATGATAGGATTTGGTGGAGTCTTGAGTTTCGCATCAAATTGCAATGGGCACTTATAGCAGGATTAGATTTTCGCCTTGGGAAGCAGTGTATATGTGTGTGTATGGGGGAGGGGAGCATGTGCACCTCTAAGGTCAGGATGCAATTATAGAATCAGAGAACTTTAGAGTTGGAAGGAACCCCAGAGACCATCCAACCCAAACTGTTTCTACCTTTCATTTTACAGAGGGAAATGGAGGCCCAGACAGATGAGATGACTCATCCAGAGTTGCAAAGACAGTTAATGCTGGAGCTGAGGTTAGAAAATGGGATTGTGGCTAATTTTCCATGTGCGTTCTCTATCCCAGCATCATGTGGAAAAGGCAATGCCATGTGACCTTCACAGCAGTCGGCTTGTCATCAGTTGGCCTGGGTCTAATCTTAACTCTGCCTCTCTGACTGGCTGTGAATTTTGGCCAGCTTGCTCAACCCCTGTGGACCTCAGTTTTCTCATCTGTAAAATGGAGACAATGATATACTCTACCTTATGGAATTGTTGAGGATTTGGTGAGATAACCCACCTAAAGTGGCCTATAAATTACATAAAATATTAGACATTATATTTATTAAACGATACATTATTACATATATTATTACGTTTAGTTTTCTCTCAATGGAACAAAAATCAGACCCTTTCTCTTATAACGCAAGAACTGTACTCTCACATCTAGTTTGAGTTCCTAAAATAAACCATTTGATTGACTAGTTTTCTGCCACTTTACCGTTGTCTAATAGGGGTCTATCACCTTAAACACAGGCAAGTGTCCTAATGCCTGTGGGGACATTAAGTTAACAATACAGCTACTTTTCACTTATCCTGGAAACCTAACACTGAAGTCTTTCCTTAAGATTAACTCACAGGAAAGGAAAACAGTGAGACCAAATCTGCAGTTACAGGAGGCTGAACAAAGTGCCATTTGCAGAGAACTGGACTTTCTTTTCAAACCTTAAGAGCTCAAGATTAACGCTCTAAAGATAGGAGACCATCAGCAATTACAATCCCCTCTTTGGTAACTGCAACATCCTAAGTTAACAACAACAACAATGACAACACACACACACACACACACACACACACACACACACACACACCCCATAAACGAAGAAATCTTATTGAGGAAAACAGCTGCAGTAAATTCTAAAGAATGAGGTTTCTACCTGGGGTTCCAGAGCCTTTGTCTTAAAGCCAACAGTAGCAAGTGGTTAATGAACCACTAGCTACTTATTAATCATGTTTGGTGTGCCAAACTACTTTTGCAGGAACAAAATAGGAGGAGAGGTTAATTTGGAGTGGTTTACAACTGTTTTAGGAATCAATTAAACAAACAAACATAAAGCAACTGGAAAAAACAAGGTCAGACTTAACACAAAGGCATAACAATGGTGATGTGATTCGAAAGATGCTTCCCGAATAATTCCCCCAAATATTTGCTACATGGCTCATTTCAGTATGGGTATTTGGAGAAAGATCAATTGTGACCCAGCCTCATTACTACAGCTCGAAAATCCTGAAAAGTTACTTAACTCTTCCAATTTTAAGAAACATCATCCAAAACTTGAAAATAAGGCCAAAAGATAATCATGTTCTTTCAAAGTTTTATGTGGCAATTGTGTAACATGTACTCTCAAGAATTACCTAAGGGACACAGGAAACAACAGATGTTGGTGAGGATGCCGAGAAAGGGGATCCCTCTTACACTGCTGGTGGGAATGCAAGCTGGACAGCCACTATGGAAAACAGTATGGAGGTCACTCAAAAAACTAAAAATAGAGCTACCCTATGACCCAGCAATTGCACCACTAGGCACATACCCAAAGGATATAAAAATACAGATTTGAAGGGGCACATGCACCCCGATATTTATAGCAGCATTATCAATAATAGCCAAACTATGGAAAGAGCCCAAGTGTCCATCAACTGATGAATGGATAGGGAAGATGTGCACACACACACACACACACACACACACACACACTGGAATATTATTCAGCCATCAAAAATAATGAAATCTTTCCATTTGCAGTGATGTGGATGGAGCTAGAGTATATTGTGCTAAGAGGAATTAGAGAAAGACAAATACCATATGATTTCACTCATATACGGAATTTAGGAAACAAAACAGATGAATGTGTGGGAAGGGAAAAGAAAAGAGAAAAGTGGGAGGCAAACAACAAGAGGTTGTTCACAACAGAGAAAAAACAGAGTTGATGGAGGGAGGTGGATGGGGGATGGGATAAATGGGTGACTGGTTTTAAGAAGGGCACTTGTTATGATGAACACTAGGTGTTATTATGCAAGTGATGAATCACTAAATTCTACTCCTGAGACCAAGAAAAAAAAAGAAAAAAGAAAAGAAAAAAATTACCTAATGAACTGTGCTTTGTTCACCTCACTATTCACTACTAAATAAAGGTCCCAAATTTAGTGAAGCTGCATTACCTTGAAGCCTTCTATTAAAGATACAAATTTCTTCTTTCCAGTAGAAAAAAATAATCCCAAGTGTGATGGTTTATTGCCCTATAAAACATTAATCAGTTTTTTATCCAATCTATTAATCTTGTACTAGCATTTTTTTTTTTAGAGAGCACGAGAGGGGGGAGGGTCAGAGGGAGAAGCAGACTCCCCGCTGAGCAGGGAGCCCGATGCGGGACTCGATCCCGGGACTCCAGGATCATGACCTGAGCCGAAGGCAGTCGCTTAACCAACTGAGCCACCCAGGTGCCCTAGCGTTTTTTTTTTAATGCACTGCTGAACAAAGAGCTCCTCAACTGTTCTTGGAACCAATCTTACCATCATACTGACACCTCATTAATTAATGAGTCACATTAAATTTTTTTTACATCTTTTTACTTTATATTTGTAGAAGTCATGTTTTTAACTTCTAAAAATTATAGTTTGATACGGTTTCACTTTCATCTGCATGATGCGTGTCACAAATCTCACGTAAGATAATGCATAATAAAGCACCTAAGGTGGATGGCACATGGTAAATGCTCAAACTATGTAAGCGTCAGTATTAATACTATAATATTTGGTTTTCCGTTTTGTCAGAGACTCTAGAGATCAGTAGACCAGATCACTCGACAGCCTTCTTCCTATTATATCTTTCAATTCTTGCCCTGAGATTCTACAGCCATTTCTGCTGGAATCCTTCCACAGATGTTGACCTCCTTGCTTTCCAGAGATTTCTACTTTTAATGTTCTAAAATTAATAGCTGAAATATATCTCCCTGTAACACATACAGATTCTAAAGCCGCTAACCAAAAAGGTCAGTTTAAAATTCTGATCTTAAGGATCCTATGAGCAAGAAAACTCCATTCTCATCTGGAACAAAACCTCCATGAGGACAAGGATTCTTGTCTGCACCATCTCCTGCCAACGTTTCCACTGTCTAAGACTGGGAAGTAGTTGGGCCTCATATTTACCCTATGAATAAATAATAGCCTTTGACTTATTTGAAAACAGAGGTCCTAAATCATCCTTCGTAAAGTACAATTTCAACATAACCAGTGCCACTGGATCATTTCTGCTCATTACGGTTCAGGTTCCTTTTATCATCTTCTAGGAATGTTTCAGCTTGGCTAATTTCCTCTTAAAATTTGATTCTGAGAGGTGAACAAACTTCTCAGGTGTGCTGGGTCTAATTTGGGAGCAGAGATACAACTCTCTCTTTCAGGAAGTATGTTTCCATTAACGCAATTCACAGTTAGGTTTGGCGGGGGGTGGCAATAACCTTGAGTCATACTGAGAAGCCAGCTCGCAGAGCCTCTTTATCACAGATGCTCTTACGTCTCCTACCCGGTTTACATCTGTGATTCTCAAGCCTAGCTTTATGTTAGAATCATCTGGAGGGAGCTTTTAAAATGACCAGAGCCAG